ACAAATCAATGGTGTTCTGGATTTCGGGATTGGAAAAATCTGTCAGGAAAAATAAAAATACATACATCATCAAAACATCATATTGACTGTTGTGCAGTATACGATTTATGGAGAAAAAATAAAACGATCGACAATGAAACTGAAGATCAAATAAGAAATTATGAATGTTTCTGGAGAAAAGTTTTAAAACGTTTATTTGATATAACAATGAAACTTGCGAGAAATTCTTCATTATTTCGTGGACATAATGAGCTAATTGGAGATGTTTACAATGGAAATTTTTTGTCTGAAGTTGAACTTTTAGCTAAATATGATGACGTTTTAAAAAGCGTTTTAGAAATGCCAACTGGTTCGATTAAATATTTAAGTCCCGCAATCCAAAATGAAATAATAGAATGTATTGGAGAAAGTTTGCTAGAAAAACTAATTGATAATATTAAATTAAGCCCGTGCTACTCAATTTTACTTGATTCTACTCAAGATATTACAAAAGTTGACCAATTAAGTATTGTTATTAGATATGTACAACTTACCAGAAATCATAGATCGGAGCCAATTGGTTTTGAAATAAAAGAAACCTTTTTGGGATTTTTTTCCATGGAGGATCACTCTGCCGAAGGCATTAAATATCAAATTATTTCTTTATTAAAACAATTTGATATAGAGATTGAAAATTGTGTTGGTCAGGGTTATGATGGTGCTAATGTGATGAAAGGGGTATATAATGGTTTGCAAGAAAAAATTAAAAAAATTCAGCCAAATGCTGAATATATTCATTGTGCCAGCCACAATTTAAATCTAATTGTTAAAGATGCAGTAGAAGGATGTAAAGAAGTAGCAAATTTTTTTGCAACAATTCAAGAAATTTATACATTTTTTGGCAGCAGCGTAAAAAGATGGGACCTACTTTCCAAATTTACAGGAGAATCACAAATAACCTTAAAAAAACTGAATCCAACCCGATGGTCGGGACGACTACAATCATTAGTAGCCATCAAAGTACGATATAACGATATAATTAGGTCTTTGACTCAAATTATATTAACACAAAAAAAAGATAGAAATGACGCTCAAAATATTAAAAAAAAAATTGAAAATTTTGAATTTATTTTTATAACTGTGTTTATGCAAAATATATTAACAGAGATAAATTTTGCCTCAAAAGTGTTACAAAAAAATAATGTAGATTTATATGAAGCCAAAAGCATTTTAAGTCGTGTTTACAGTAATATATCCAAAATTAGATCAATGTATAATGAAACAAAAAATGAAGAAATAGAGTTATCAAAATCATGGGGCATAAGTCCAAATTTTGAGAAAAAAAGACAACCAAAAATAAAAAAACATTATGATGAGCTAGCCACAGACCACAGATTTGAAACAAGAGAAGACATTTTTAAAATTCAAGTGTTTAATTATGTAATTGATATTACCATAAATCAAATAAAAAGAAGATTTGAAGGTATGGATAATATTGTAAATTTTTTTGGTTTTTTAGAACCAAAACAATTATTAAAATTGTCAACAAAAGAAATAAGTTCTAAATGCGACAAGTTAGAAAAAAAATACCCAAAATTACTAACAGATATATTTGCTATACAATTTACAAATATAACTACGTTATTGAAAAGCGATTTAAGTGAATCTATGTCCATAAGAGACTTTGCAAACATTATAATTGAAAAATATAGTTGCTTGGAAAGCGATTTATGTGAAGTATATACAATGTTTATCATATTTTTTACTTTGCCTGTGACTGTTGCTACAGTAGAAAGAACATTTAGCAAATTAAAAATTATAAAAGATTTTAAAAGAAATTCAATTGGACAAACTCGTCTAAAACATTTAGCATTGATTGCTATCGAAAATAATGAAGCAAGTAAATTAGATATGAAAAATTTAATTGACAAATTTGCGGCTGCAAAATCAAGACGAAAAAACATTTAAATAAGTTTTCATAATTTTTTTTATAATCAAATATATTTTGAATTATTTATTATTATTTAGAATTATTATAATTTAGTATATTTGTTAATTAGTGAGTTAGTTATATAAGTGTAATTTATTATTTAAAATTATTTTTATTCTAGAATTCTAAAATACAAAAATGTAAATAATATACAAAATACACAAAATTTGCTTATTATATTATTCTATATTTGGATTCGTTTCACTAAATGACAATCATGTACCCGTCGATTCCCCCAAACTGAACTCAAACCTATTTATAAAATAAAAAAGTTTTTTTAACCCATTTGAATATTATTTTGTACGTTGTCTTATGAAAATATAAGTACAGTATATACCAAATTTCATTCGAATAAGTATACAGATATATACTTTATGGTATTTCCGACTTTATGGTATCTTGACAAACCTAATATACCCTTTTTACACTTTTTCATGTAAAGGGTATGTTAGTAAGGGCCCCTTAGTTAGAATTTGCTTATGGGCCTAAAAAATGTAGTTACGCCACTGCATGAGGAGCGAAATATTATTAAAGATGATGTGAAATAAATATAAAATGCAATATAAAAAATATAAAAATATAAAGGTTTTTTCTTATAATAAAGGCACCGAAATTGTTTTTAATTTCGGTGTCTTTTTTGAAATTTTTTCAATTTGAAAAGTTATTTGCTGGCGTAGCGTTGACTTGACTAATTCTAATTCGTATTGATTTTATTTTGATGCGATTTAAATTTTACTCTCAGTTCATTTGTTCTGATGAATTGCGGAGGAAAATCACAATATAAGACTGTCAATCTGCATGTGGTGAGGCAATTGAATTTGTCTTCATATATTAAAATTTCATGAAATATTCATATCCATAAGATGCGATTATGTCGTTGTAAAAACATTACCAGTTACACATGTAACATTTATTCCCAATATGAAAAAAATAATAATTTGGAATCAGCATTAAGTTTTCGAGCGGAAATTTATGCGATTATTGCGTGCAAAATTCGATATATAATCTGAGCTGGCTCTGACTAATATAAATGAAAATATTTCGTATCCCAAAATGTTGACTTTGTAAATATTAATAAAAAAAAAACAAAAAAAAAAACAAAATCTGCAGATTACATGTAATTTGCATTATTAGTATAATTTTGACTGTAGGAGCGGCTTATGAGATAAAAATAAAACCAAACCAAAAATTACTACAATTTTATGGCGAGATATCGAATTGCAATGACAGAAGCTCATTAATATTTTATGTACAGAATGTGGTTTTATAAAATATTTTTATTTCATTTATAAATAAATTTAAAATGAATTAATTACACTAAATTACATTTAAAATAAGTGTTCTCGATTTATTCAATTAAAATAAATTGATTATAGCATATGCACAAAAAGTCAAGTAAGTCGTAAATTCTATTGGTTAAATATTGGTTAAAGTAAGTAAGCTGATGTGTAAAAAATTTAAGGCAGAAAAAGGTAGATAGGTTGAAGTGGCGGCCTTGTTTCCAAAAAGCTCACTTGAGCTCAAATAATTGCCAATTGTGGTACCTTAGGAATGTCATTGATATGTACATAGATTTAAATCAGTATACAGCCAACGCTGAAGAAGGTAACAACTTCTCCATTAGGTAAAGGAAAACCAATCTGGCAGTTCTATAAACTTGGCCAGGTCCTTAACATTACAGGATGACAGCTCAATCAGATCGGTGAGAAAAGGGGACCTCTTGCTTAAGTACTATTATATAAATAAGACTTTACAGCTTTTTGGTACGTACGCGTTTATAAACTACATGAACTCCTTAAAAACTACATATACTTTTTATACTAATTTTAATTCAATTTTTAAGAGCTGTGTTTATGATTTCAGTATATTGGTTTTTACTAAACCGAATGAAAAAATTAGCGTGTTGTTCCTGTTGTCCTAAGCAAGCATACGTTTGGGACTTCCAATTTGGGTTTTCAAAAGTTCAACAAAGCCCAAAACGTGTGGAACCAAGAAATAATGAAATGCTTGTCGATAAACTTTAATAGTTTAAGTTAACTTAAGAAACTCTCTGCTGATAGACCAACGGGATCATATACCTCAGTTATATTCATTATGAAATGTAACTTTGGATCATCTCCATATTCCCTCCGTGACCACAACTGTTAGAGATATCACAATAGGTAACATTCCATGTACCTCAATTACGTAAAAATTACGTCGTTTTGCTATCACATTCCTTTCAAGAAACCCTAATATAGAAGAATGCAGACTTAATTTAATCTGTCGAATTTATATACCTGTTTCATTTTTTCTGATGAACAGTTTGATAATCTGTTAAAGAAATATCAACCAACTTAGAAATAAAAACTTACTTCTTCTCGACGCCAAAGTCAGTAAGTGTTTAATGATTTCTTTTTCCTGCAGATTTTCGCAACGTCTGCAGTGAGGATTATGAGGAATGCACAGTTTTTTTGCGTGAGTTCCCATACACTAATGACCAAAAAGAACTGCAGTAAGGCTTGAAATATTCACATGATCAATTCTCATAAGTTCTGAACATCTAGTTTGATTGTAGGCGGGCCAATTTGACCGGAAAGTTACACATGGCTTAAGCGCCTTTCATTTGTTATTGGTAAACTGAAGAAAGTAAGGGTAAGTACTTCTTTTAACGGTCTCCAGGGTAAGATAAACTGCTAACTCTAGAAACACATTCAAGGAAGCAGGATCAAGGTGGAGTAAACACTCAAGTTTCTCGTTCCCTTAGATGTTTCTATGTTCAGGGATCATAATGACTTTGATAATAAGTATCGTATCACTTTAATATTAAATTTTTAATAAAATAACTGTAGGAAAATTTATTGATTTCGTTCGATACATTTAATTTAATTTGGCTTTTTTTTTGTTTTAACAACTTTTTGTGCTCCCATAAGACAAAGACAAAGAAGTATGGAAGAAGGATGAAGGTATGAAGGGATGAAAGGAAGGAAGGAAGGCGTCAGTTTTTGTTATGCATTTTGCGAAACTCGTACGTACATGAATGCACAGGAATTTGCACGCTAAGCTGATGGATTTTGCACTTGAAAGTGTTCACATGCCAAACAACGGAGTGAAAAATTCATTGGCTTTTTGAAAATCAATGCACGCCACAAACTCTAAATTGGAAATCCAAAATGTATGCTTGCCAAGGATAACAGGAGCAACACATCAATTTTTTCAAATTTCTTTACACTTTTGCTTTTTGTTCATCAAAACGATAGCATAGCAGCACCGCACCCCGACCCGGCTGCCGACTGCCGGCAGCCGGGTGGGGTGCTGCATCAGCATTGTGTCAAAGTTTAATTCAAAAATTTAATTGCTTTAAAATTTCAAATTTCAGGGCATGAATCCCAACTACAACTACAAGGAAAGGGAGAAAACAAGGATAACACACAAGGAGGAAATGTTATATTAGCTGCATTTGGCATTTGATGCGCGTCAATGAAATTTATAACTTCCTATGTGAGGCTTCTGGAGCGACTTATAGCAGACATTTCACTGAACGTCTCGCGGGACAGCCGGGTGAGTGCAAGATATACCTTGTGTGCACAGTGAAAGGATACGTCAGGTGTGCTTTAAAGAAGATTTAAAGAAATCAAATGTTTTTCTAAATAATTTTGTTTTATTTTCTTATCTATTAAAAGCTCTTGCTAACAAAAAGGTAAGTAAAGGCAAATTTATTGTTATTTTAATTAAGGCAAAAGATTTAATGTTGTTGGGTTTAACTTTCTGTAACATAAAAAAAAGAGATTTGCTTGCTTATGTATTTCTTCAGATACAATATGTATATATATATATGTATATATAAATGAGCTTAATGTAGAAACAATAAACAGTTTGCAACCTTTTTTGGAATTTTTCCCACTCGCATTACGGCAGGATTTAAAATATCAAACATGCATCTTTTTTAAGGACAAAGTTTGGAATTTTTTTTGTATTGTATTTTGTATAAAACTTCATTAAAACAAATACGAGGAATTTATAACAGTTTTTTTAAATAAATTTTTTATTTTTTTTTTTCTCATTCTCTTCTTAGTAAGAAGAATGAAGAAGGACAATTTATGACGCAATGCCCTTTCTCACATAGACATATAATGTGCACGTGATATTTGTATACAATCTTATTCCTTTAAGTAACGTTGTTCCATTTTTCTTGTTAGAACTGCTTGTCAACCAGAATTACCGAAAACGATATATATATCCTATATAATCCTTGACACATTTAAAGGGTTTTAACGCCTTGTGCATTGGATAACAATAAAACATGGACTAAACATAAAATTTAATCGCAGTCTCAGATAGAAAGTAAAAGGGCCACACATACGAGTATTGATGTTAGGAGTTTGTAGCAAAAATTATGTTGTTGTTGTGGCCATCAAAAAGGAACATGAATTAAACTTCTTTATCTTAATATACAAGTTTTTCTTTTTAGATACAAATTTTTTTATGCTTTGTGAGACATTTTTAAGGTAATTAGAGTAGAAAAATATATGTTTTTGTATATATCTATATAATAATTTCATATAATGAAATATAATAAGAAAACTTTACATCACGATCCTCAATTAAATTTCTAGGGATAAGTTAAATTGAGTTTAATGATGGATGACTTATTAAAGACGACAGTTAGCGCTTTATATTCCACTGAAAAATAGTTTGTTAGATCTGCTGGCGGTTTAATTTTAATTAATATATGGACGTCTTTTTAAGCGAAAATACTAGATAAAAGCAAGATTTCTAGCTAAAATGTTAATGAAATTAAGATTAATTCGTTTCCATTGACGTGAGCTGGAAAACGCATGTGATTTATGCTTGTGTGTTCACATCATACATATAAAACAAGACAAATATTATATTTTTCAAATTTTAATAATTTCCCTTGTGTGAAATTTATATTTAAGAGTTATATTTGACTGTTCGTCAATTTCACAGAATCTACAACTAGCATTAGCATGTGCCCCTAGTTTCGCTAAGTGGTGTTTTAGCCTGCAATCTCCTGTTAGGACTCCTGTGATAAGTATTAAGCTGTTTATGCAATTCTTGGATCTGCTATGGTTGTATGAAGTCATACATGTTCTGGATTGTCTTGGTGGTTTGTCCGAGTATATAATCCTTTGTTTGATTTCCTCTTCTAATACGAGTGAGGAGAAGTGACTCTAGCCTACGCTACAAAACGGCTGTTTGCTAGTTCATCTGCTGCTTCGTTTCTTTTCCGATATTCCAACGTGTCCGGTACTCACAGAATTGATACCTGATTATGTAGGCCTTGCGTGTTTGGCCTATAAAGACATTTCAGTACCAGTCTAGATGTTACTTGTTGAGAGTTCATTGCCCTAATGGCAGCCTACCTGTTGTAATATTTCGATTGTGGTAGTTTCTTTCTTGAGCACAATACATAAATTTCAACCTGCTATGTGCACAGTGCTTTCCAGTGTTTTTTTGACCGAACCTACCATACCCGTCTCTGCACCCTTATATGTAAGAGAGCCATTATATCGTGTACTGATTTATTTTATAGATTTTGTCTATCCTTTTCCAAAATACTTTGTTGCTTAGTTCAGTTTTAAAGGATTTGTATAAAGTAAAGTCGGGGTTCATCAGGTCCCATGGCATCAAGATTTCAGGATGTTGCTCGACAAGTGTTAGGATTCTTTTGCGACTAAGCCACTGACCAGGGTTTTGAGTTAGAAAAGCTTCAAAACCAAATTGATTTCAACAGAAGGTTTTATATTAGTATATATTCTTTAGAGAATATAGTAAATATACTTTACTTTTAGATATAGGTATATAAACATATGAAAATATATCAATCAGTAAAAAGTGCGACACAAATATCGTTTGACCCTTGAAATAACGAGTTGTTCTTTTTATAATTTTAATTTTAGTTAAACTTAATTCAAAATAGACTAACAATCTGATGTCTGCAATTCCCTTAATTTTGAATGTAGTAAGGTGAATCAAACAATCTCGCTTTTATGTTCAAACTGCATGAGCAGAACATAAATGCCTAAAAAAAATTAATGATATTAAAAAAATATTTCAAAAATAGTATCTTTTGTTTAAACAAAAATCCATTACATATAAACAATTTTTAAATTTTATTATGATTGTTCAGACACAGCGTTGGCAAAAATCTTTCAAACTAAATATAAAAAATTGTGTAGCTTAAATAGAAAATGAAGAAGACTAATCTAGCCCCAAACCACATCAATCATTTTTATATTTTTGGAAGTATATTTCACGCCTCATTTGATTGTCCCCGAAATGATCTCATTTTATTTTCATAGCTTCAAGAATGAAAGGATGCACAAAAGATGTCCCTTTTTTCGATGATGCCCTACCTCTTCTCCTTCCATTTTTCTTTTCGAGTTTGTTTTATATGAAATAAATGCTGACAGGATGTTTAAAGAAATTCATAATTTTCGGCTCATTGATGTTTGTCCTTCGTAAAGACAATGCGGAAGATTTGTTTTCCCGCTATTCTTTCCGGATTATATTTGAATAATAAATATTTTTAAATGTTTTTAATGTGCGTTATTCAAATTTTTCCTAACCATAATTACTAAGCTACATGATACTTTTAAGACATTCAGGATTTGTGTTATCATTAATATTAAAAACATTTTTAATGAGTAAAAAAGTGTTTGGTATTCATAAAATTCAAATAAAAATGAGCAATTTAAATTCGACCAAATTAGTTTTACTAAATGGATTTGAAATATGAAAAGGGTTCCTTAATATGAAGTCATAAAATACACGAGCGAAACAAATTATGTAGCATTTTGGCCATATTTTTTATGGTTGTAAAATCGGTAAAATTTAAACTAAATATATTGTAGTACTAATAACAAACTGCTATAGTATATAGTAATAGTTTATTTGTAGTGGGAATAGCTTCAACACTACATCACTATATTACTTTAAAGTTCTAAAAAGTTATCACCAGATTTCCTAATTAACGTAGACAGTACATATTTCATAAAAAAACGACATAAAATTCAAGAGATTATTTCTTGGTTCAAGAAGTGGAATAACTTATATGGGGTACATTGCCTATTTTTTTTTTCTTTTTTCTCATTATTTTATTTACCATTTAATTTGTACTAATAAAACTTTATTGAAAATTAATTTTAAAACGAAAAAGACTTTCTGCAGTGCCAAATTTTTTTTATTGTTTTATAGATAAATTTAGGTAAAAACGTTGGTAAAAAATATACAGTGGACGCCAGATACATTCCTTCCAGATACATTCATGCCAGATACATTTATGCCAGATACATTCATGCCAGATCCATTCATTCCAGACACACTCCTGCCAGATATATTCATGTCACATATATTCATTCTAGATACATTCCTGCCAGACACATTCATGCCAGATCCATTCATTCCAGACACATTCCTGCCAGATATATTCCTGCCAGATATATTCCTGCCAGATACATTCTTGCCAGATACATTCATGCCAGATCATGCAGCTTTTATAAAACCTTAAAAGATATAAAAATCAGCAATGTAATTGTTGAAAGCAAGATACTATAGATAATATAATATTCCTTATAAAATTGACTTAGTTGCATTAAATAATGTTATCGAACTAAGGGAATAAATAAAGTAGGATATAATATTATTTTATTAATTACGTAGAACTAGTTCGATAATAATTGAGTATATATAATACATACTAATATCGTCGCTTCGGACGACGAGGAGTGTTCAAATCATCTGCAGCTTTCTTCTTCTCAGCGATAACCCGGGCTAACGCAGAAGTAGTAGTGATTTTGCAATTCTTATAAAAAATGTTATCCAGACGAGAATGGCTATATGTGCCGAATTGTCTGGAAACAGTACACGTCACTCTCCTGCGTTTGGTCCGGGTACTAATTTGCTGCCGACTGCCAGATGAAGTGCCTTGGTTCCTTTCATTGTCTGCTGGCATCTTTCTTGCGTTTTCGTTCAAGGCAGAACTTGGAAGTTTTTGATTGCGCTTGATTGTGCCTTGATTCTTTTCGTCAGCCAAAATCGCATACTCGTCGGTTTTCTTTTTTAAATTTTTGTATTTTTCTGCATCCATTAATCCATTCGTGCTGAGTGTACGTATCTGGCGTCCACCAATGGATAATATAAAGTTTGTTATTCTACCATTCATTTTTATATACAGAAAATTTAGATAAATTAAAATCAAAATTTTTGAAAATTTTTTATAAATAAATTTTGAAACCAACTGCAGTCAATTTTGAAAAATATGTATTTCGGTTTTAAAAAATTTGTAAGTAATATTTTTGAAACTATGCACGCCTACTTATGTACAATGTAGTATGTTGATGCAATGATGCAACATTGCACAGTAGATTAAAAACTCAAAACAGAAAAAAATTTTGTGTGCCAGTGATCTATTTGCAGTTAATTTAGTATTTGTATAAAAGCAGTCC